TAAAATCAAATCAGATATACAAACAACCATGCTTGGTATTGCTGGTGCACAAAAATATAACTAATATAAATGTCTCATAGATTAATTTACTCTAATCCTGCTTAAAAGAATTTCAAGTGCCGTAACTATTGAGGATTCTCTTGTTTCAACCATTTCTTCTGAAAATTCCTTTAGGGGGACCCCCCATTTGTTTTTCTGTAAATACTTGATCCTGTGTTTTTGTCTGTACTGTTTCTATGGTTATCATCACCACAGAATTCATCCATAGTGATTTTATCTTTGGTCTACAATTATTAGTGAAATCGGGCATCTGTCTTTTTTTTGGTATGGTAGGTTGGCAAACCTGGGCTTTGAGAGGTCCAGGAACAGTATTTCACCCTCTCTTCCTGTCTGAGTTTGTCAACTTACATTAAACAGTAAGTGAGATGATCTGCTTTGATGTAGCATACTAGATGTATGTAAAATTAGTTGTATTTAAACCAGAATGTCACGGGTCAGCACGTTATTAGTGCGTTGATATTAGAATAGTAAGTAGTAGTTCGAAGGTTTCCTTTGATGATATTACTAGAGGAATATTGTGTTGTGTTTTTTAACTTCTCTGTAATGTAAATCATATACTACAACTGTCCTTTATTTAGTTTGTGTAGGCTTACAATAATGAGCCTTTATACAAAAAAAAATATAAAAATTGTTATACACGTAGATGTGATTAATGTTTCTGGTATTTCGGTTGCTTGCCATGGAGGCAAGTCTTGCCAAAGTGATAGACAAATTTTAGCCGTTTTTTTGGAGTTAGTAGGATTCCATGCTAGTAGCCCTCTGAGTTGTCACAAGTGAAATTAATGGAGTCGTGTTTATTACTTAAATCATGTGCAGAGAGACTCATTTAGTTAAAATAAAGGCCTACTCATGAGAATTTTCATTTGACAGTAAAAATGTCAGGCATGCCAAAGAGTCTACAGCTTACTGCTTTCTAGGGAATCAAAGTTAAAAAAAATGCTGGCTTCCTGCAATCAGATGCTCTCAGCTCAGCCCAACATTGAGTGATATCCTTCTGGTTTGGAAAAGTTAGCGGTAGAGAAGTTTTGTGTTTACTTTGGCTTATTGTAATGTCTGTCTCCTGTTTGAAAAGCTGCATACACAGGCAAAGCTCAACATTTACATTTTATTTTGCAAGCAGGATATTCTACACTAACTTGTTAGGAATTAATCACACTATCATTCACATTTCAAAATGTGACGTAACTTAAAGAATAAAATGGTAGATTTACCGTATGTTATTGTTGTGTGGCTCTTAGCATTACTAAAAATGCTCAATAATTACTTTTTGTGGTGGATTAAGTAAGTAGCTCAGAGCTTTAACTCTGAATGAAACCAAGAGTGCAACACCATTAACCTTTTTAAAGTCCATGAAGTATTTTAAATTGATAGATAAACTTAAACTTTTCCATCACTGGGGACGGGTACTTTTACTAGATTAATTTACTTTTCCTCTCACTAGGGATGGGTACTTTTGCTAGATTAACTTACTTTTCCTATCACTGGGGATGGGTACTTTTGATAGTTTAAGTTAAACTTTTCCTGTCACTGGGGACTAGTACTTTAGCTAGGTTAACTTAAACTTTTCCATCACTGGGGGATGGGTACTTTTGCTAGATTAATTTACTTTTCCTCTCACTAGGGATGGGTACTTTTGCTAGATTAACTTACTTTTCCTATCACTGGGGATGGGTACTTTTGATAGTTTAAGTTAAACTTTTCCTGTCACTGGGGACTAGTACTTTAGCTAGGTTAACTTAAACTTTTCCATCACTGGGGACGGGTACTTTTGCTCATCATTATACTGATCAGTTTGCAACAGAAAATTATATACTTTTCGTATGCTTATTGAATTCTGTCATATATTGACAACTACCAAAAATATAGTATAAGTATCACTGTTGTATGCCACTTTAATAGATTAGATTAAACTTTTTCTGTCACTTGGGATGGTTACTTTTGCTTGTAGTAGATAGGACAGATTTCTAACAGTTAAGACTATTTGTATTTTCTATGTGAGTATTAGAGAAGATCAGTTGGATTGTAGCTTTTCCCTTTCCATCGTGTAATTATCTTGAGCTGTGATAATTTCCTTTTTTTTTTTTTTCTCAGATAGTTTCCTTATGTACTTCATATCTTATAGGTCTTCTCCATTCACCTCCTGAGAAAGACAGAGAAAATATTGAAGAGGTCCTACGAGAGTGTGTTCAGGAGACGACAGCTGGAGGAAGAAACCAGGCTGTGGAGGAGCTGCAAGATATACTGGAGATTTACCTATCTTATAATGATGTTGATCATGAAAATGAAGATGGAAATGATGATGAATATGAAGAAGAAGAGAATGACAAAGAAAGTGAGAACTACTGAAGGTGAACGAGTGGGTTATTTGGATTATGCAGTTTTACTTTTAGCTACATTACTGAAAGGGATTTCTAGGCCACCTACTTACTAAATCCACACTGTTCAGGTGAAGTTATCATGCTTTCTGGTAAGGGTATCTCTCTTCTTATCATGATGAGATTAAAGCTTGCTTCTGTGGGAGTTAGTAGTTGTGCTCTTGTTGTGATTTATTTTTCATCACTAAATTTTATTAAGTGGTTGGCCTTGATTTCATGGTTTTGGTTCAAATTTGGATTCTGAATGGGTGATGTTTATTGTCCTATTTTAGCTTTGGTGCCTACAGGATTGCCCATCACTGTTATGTTGGAGAATCTATAGGCTTAGGACACAGTTTAGATGTCTCATGTATCTCATTATTTTATTTATACTGTTCTGAACATAATATTGTGATTAACAAAGTTTTGTTGACTGGAAAAGTTTACTACAGTGCTTATATTTTATATGGCTTTTGGAAACGTTGTTATTATTGACATTTTCAGCAAATATTTTCATCTTGCAGTGACATTTACTTATAATCATCGTTCTTCTCTAATAACAAAACAATTATCTAGAATAGAGAGTTTAGTCTGTGTTGGGAACTTGCATATATGTGTGTCGGTATACATTGAATTTCTGATATAGGTGAGTAATTGTTATCGTGAATACATATGCATTTAAAAAAAAAGGTAAATTTTATACAATTATTCTGTGAAAATACAAGAGGTACTTTTTTAAAAACATTTTATATTTGTAACTTTCAGTGCCAAAAATATCGTACAGAATGATTGCTTAAGTTGAAGAAAGTGTAATTTCGATTGTTTGCTGCCGTAACAGAAAGTAAGAGAAAAATACAAATGTTTTTCCATCTTATTCCACTGCGTGTAATTTCCGTTTATTAAGTATCAAGGATCGAAGAACAACTGGTATTTATGAATTATTATGCGAATCGTTTAAACATGAACACGAATCAATGTTCTCTAGTAAAACGTAATATATTAGTGGTAAATTTTGCTGATCATGGGAGTTCTGATCACAAATTAGTGACTTCTGCCTTAGAAGAAGTTTCTGTGATAATTGGCTTTCGTTTACACGTCATTTTACATCAAAAACAGATACGTGCGCTATAATGCTTTTTATAAACTTAACTAATTTTCCAGTTTCAATAAATTTAGAGGCACGGGTTCTTTTAGTCTTCGTAGTTCCTAGTTATCGGGGAAATATCCGTATCAAATGGCTTGAATTTATTGTTTCATTAGCGTTTTATAATAGTACATCAGTTATTTTTTAAATGTAAAAAACCGAGGAGAAATGTTAAAGGTTGAACATGTGCAAGTTAAAAAACGACAAATTATTACCAGTTTCTTTATTTACATTCTACAGTTTTTTGTCAATATTTTGATTTTATTATGACAATGTTGGAGTATTTATGCTTAGGTTTAAATATCCGATGAGCTATTGCACATTTTAGATATTTTGCTGTAATTTTATTTTTAAAATCGATTAATGTAGCCTATATAATTTAATTAATTCCTATTTAGCTTTTTTTTTTTAGTGATTGAAATCTAAATTACATTTTTTATCACAAGCCTTGAAACAGCCCAATATTTCTTATAAATCCTTAAAATATTCTAGGTCTCTTGGGGCAGTGAACTAAATGCTTTGTACTAAAACATATTTTTTGGAACAAAAAAGTATATAAGGTGCTATGATATTTCTTTGGGTGTTTTCGGCAACCCATATCATGGCTAAGACTATTTTATCTGTCGATGCCTCAGTTTTGAAGCCACGCGGTTGGGGGGGGGAGACTTCAAATGCCATCTGTAACGTTCATTCTTACAGTTCATCTAAACCAGATAGGACAAACTATACATTGTTTCGTGTACACTAGTTACCAAATATCATAGTTCACAAATCTTGTAAATTGTGATTGGTCAGAAAAGTGAAGTATTTGTTAATCTCCTTTCGTTTTTATTATATCCATTAATATTATTAGCTTCTGTACAAAATGATTCGTCACTTAGTATCTAAATTAGTATGCTACAGATTAAGACTACAACCTGTTTTTCATTCGTTACAAGAAAATGTTTTGGAAAACTTGGAGTTTCTTTTCCCTTCCCGCAACATTTTTTTCTTTCTATAGATTGGCATTTTACAAACAAAACAAAACAGGTTATTGTACCTGTGTTTAAAGCTCTAATTAAGCCACAAGTAATTTGATGAAACAGTAGTTTGTATCATTTTATATGGTTATCTTAAAATATAAGTTGCATTAATTTTGTAGCGAAAGTTCAAGCTTTGCTGGAGAAGATGAAATGTAAAAATATGCTGAAGATATTACTTCAGTGTTTCCATTAAAGACTTAAGTGATTTGTTTAAATAATAACTAACCAGAAAATGTTAACATACAGTTTCCCAAGCTTCCTTAATATCACTAATTAAAGTAACGGATCCATAGCCTACTTATTATACAAGGCTTTCCCAAATTTTATCTTGATCACTAATTAAACAATATAATACATTCAAAGCCTGTTAGTACATAAAGTTTCTCAACATTGGTAAATAAAAAATCCTAATAAAAGAGTTAGCACACAAGATCACGCACGGAAGGTTCAATGAATTAAAAAAAACAACCAAAACTTGAGCATTTTCAAATAGCTGACTGTTTTTTGTCAGAAAAGTAAATAATAACTTATTCTTGTGAAGAAGAATAACCAATTATTTGAAAAGGACCCAAGTTTTGGGTCTTTTTTTTTAAACTCATTGTACTAAATAAAGGTAATAGATTTGTGTTTTTTATACTACACAAAATTTTCATGAGCTTCTTCACAGTCGCTAGATATAAATATGACAATTGTGATTACACAAAGTGATGTGGGAATGACTATAAATTTTTTTTTAATGACGTCACAGCTGGCAGTTTTTCTTTGTTTAATCCATTGATTGCTCATTCCCCATCTAGGGTACAGTCCGCCTCCGGCAGTTGAACGCAAGTATGTTGTGTACGGTTTACAGCTTGCAAAAATTCTGTGTGTATGTGTTTAGAGCAGCTGCAGTCAGTGGGTTAAAAATGTGGTGATCTGTTTGTTTTGTGGTAACTCTCTTAGAGCATTTATCTTCCATGTATAGTATATCCTATTTAGATCTGATCTACTTTTCAAAAGTTTTGAACGACTTCATCAACAGTTTATAAATGCATGCAGTTTTGTGATGTTATTATCATTGGAGTCTACCTGCCTCCAGTTTTCACCGCAACACTCGGTAACTACGAAATAGGTGTAGTTTGAATCGTTATATGTTTAGTCTGGCAGCTCCGTTTATGTTGTTCTTAGCATCAGAGTAATCCTGATCCAACCTAGTGTAATGATTGGTCAGTGAAAGCTGAGAATATAAAGGTGTAGTAAATTAAGTGACATACTTCTTCACTACCTCTTTCTAAAGTTACTTTTACGTAGTCACTCTGTTTGTCATCTTGGTCCGTAGTCACTCTGTTTGTCTTCTTGGTTCATAGTCATGACTACGGACCAAGATGACAAACAGGGTGACTACGGACCAAGATGACAAACAGGGTGACTACGGACCAAGATGACAAACAGGGTGACTACGGACCAAGAAGACAAACAGAGCCCTGTTTGTCATCTTGATCCGTAGTCACCCTGTTTGTCTTCTTGGTCCGTAGTCACCCTGTTTGTCATCTTGATCCGTAGTCACTCTGTTTGTCTTCTTGGTGTTGCAATTTTCTCGTTTCTACATGTATATTTTTTGTATTTTTTTATGCTAGGAGAGATAACTGCATTGATTATGTGTTGTCTTTTCATGGATGAAGCAAAAACTTGTCCCTGTAAAGCTTTTTTTATGTCAACAAGTAAGCAAAGTTTTAAAAAAGTTTAAGAACTATGGGACAACCTCTAATAAATAAATCTCTCAAGTTTTCTTCCCTCATTACGCTTAATATCATGTTGAAAATGTCAGGCTGAATCTGCAGGTGTTTATTTAATTTGAGTTGATCATCTTATATAGATTAAAATCACAACAACAACAACTGCAATATATTGTAGTGTTATGAGAGCTTTTCAAATAAATACCTGCATCATTGGTGAAGTTTGCTTCCTCTCTTATGTTTTGTGGGTGAGCCAAGCCATATAAACAAATCTTTATATCGGTGTGGGTGTGGCACCAATTATAAATGAACTTGCTTGGAATGGTATAGAACACTTTGTACAACATTTACTAAGTGAGATAGTTATAGTGTAAAGAAAAATTAGATTAGAACTCATTTCATTAGGTTAGTTTTTATTGTTAGTGGGCTTGCAACGAGAGTCGAGACAATGCCTCTGATTGAATGTTTAAAAGGGGATTAAAGTTTGAGCAGTTACGTCAGGTCTTTACTGTCATATAATGTTTCAAATTACACCTTTTGATGAAATTTTCTATATTTGTTGATAGAGATTTTATTCTCTTTAAATGTAAATATTGTGAATCCCATTGTTCTAAAGCATTAGATTTGCTTGCTGTTTATCACTATAGTGTGGCCGTTTATCGTTGTGTCAGTTAGGAAAACAAAGTGGTTGATACACACTAAAGAATCATTGTTATTGTATCTTTTTTTACCTATTTTTACGGTGATTTAAGTTATTAAACAGGTGCTATGTAGTAATGTGATGTCTCTCAGATAGATACGAAAAAATGTATTATGTTCTTGAAACATTTAAATCTACAGATTTCCAATGGGATTAGCTATTCTCCTTTATTGCTGCCCTCTATATGTAAACTTTTTTATTGCGCATGCCACAAGCCTTCTGCACCCCCCTTATTGGAATCAAATGATTCAAACTTGTCTCTCATACAAATCATCATGGGTAGCCTATACACCAATAAGCACATAGTACACTCATGTGACTCCTTCTATGTGCCTCTAATGAACTATCACTTGGAAGTTTGGCAGATGACTGAAGCACTGGAAGTGAGAGGGGAGGAAGGGTGGGAAGTCTGAGAAGAGGGAAATACCTATCGGAAATACATTTCCAGTATAGGAAAATTATAACTTCCAATATGGTACTTCCCTCCTCTCAAAAGATTAACTGGAATCCGCATGGGTTAGGAGTGACCTACTGGTGTGAGGGAAGAACAGACATACTCCCCATAATCATCCAAAGGATACCCCTGCAAATGAGAGAGTCAGACCTGAAGTATAGGAAAATTATAACTTCCACATTATTTAAGGGTATTTTCTAAACCTTTAGAAAAATGGAGGTTTGTTTGAAATTAAACTTACACTGATGTTTTTGTTAAAACCATCCCTATTTTTACATCCATATCTATTCAGTGTTAAATATGTTTAGAAGAAACTGTCTGGCATGTTATTGTTTTGTTGTGATCTTTTCTGAAGACTGCTTACTATTTGTGAAACACCAACATTGTATCTAACCCACTTTAAAGAGTAATCAGAACAATATACATTTCTCAACCAAATTACCTTTATTTGCACAGCTTTTAAGTAACATTAACAAAACGTGACTGAGAATGATAAATCATTAAAAAGATTTGTAATTAAAAATGCTCATTACAGAAAAAAAATTGATGTTTTCATAAGTTTTAACTAATCTTTCCTGGATTTTTCCTGTCTTTTAATTGAGGTCAGATTAAATCATATTTAGTAGATATCTTTTGTGGTTAAGAAGTTAACACACAGGATCACATACAAAACGGTTTTCATACGAAACTCAAAAACTTTCCAATAGTTCACTATTCTTCTTTAGGAGAATGAACGGTCAGATATCTTTATTACAATTAAAATAAGTTTTTTTTATTATTATTATTTAGTGTGAGTCACAAACAGCCATGTGTATCTTCAAAAGAAATCAGACACGGAGTTTTGTGAAGTTAGTAACGCCTAAAATTTCATGTTTTATTAAATAGTGGTGCTCGGTTATTATTCAACCTTCCTTACCGTATTTATTCAAACTAGATTTTCAGTACTCTGTAGCTCTTTTATTTTACACGTTGTGAAAATATGGTGGAAAAAAAAAACGTTTCTATGAATTCCTTACTTAAATAGATCTGTATTGGACACAAAAAAATTGTTATTAAGCAACAAAGATTTGTTACAGTGTGCAACAGAGAGTTAACAACTTTTCATCTTAAGCCTAATTAAGTCAACTCGTAGTTTTAAATGTGGTGACGTAAAATGTAGTCCTTACTGTGTAAGTTATAACTGATAATAGGAATGAACTTTAAGACTGAAATTATATATATTTTTTAAATGCAAGTATAACAAGAAGTATTACTTTCTGGGATGGATCTAAATAATGCCAGTGTTTTATTGAGATAAGGTTTTGGGTACAGTGGTTGGTAAAATTGAAGCTATTCCTGTATGCCTTATCCCTATTTGTGCTTACAATATTCTAGTAGATATAGTATATATTAGATGAATAATATACACACACTCACGTCCTCCAGTTAAACTTTGTTAAAAGTGTCATAATAGCGGTCTAGTTCAGACAAGATACTTTTTTTTACATTTTAGCATTGT